TTAGCTGCCCAATGTGACATTCCTTATAGCTATTGGTAAGCTCTGACTAATTGGTGGGCATCCTGAAGTATTTGTTCATAGGCTAAGGAAGTTAGGAAAGATGCTGGGAACCAGAAGACATGGCAATGCACCAGCTAATAAACCAGGCCCCTCACCCCCAGACAAGTACCCACATTCCCTTCAGCAGCCCTTTTCTTCCCTCCTAAATATTCAGTGCAAACCAAGGTAAATAGGACAGGCAGTCATAGATAATTAAACACAAAGATGACAGTCAAGAACCACCAAACATGAGAGAAACCAACACTATGACAGGCACCAGACTTAATAAACAGAAGAAAGAAATTGCAGGAAACAATTAATAGAAAAAAAGTTACAAACCTTTTAAATAAATATAATTATTATCTTTAGAGAGAGGCATATAATTGTTGCTTCCATTAGAAGAAAAGCAACAAAGTATATTGAAAGTTAAGGTATTGAACAACAAGATTTAATACTCCTTAATATTTGGACTGAGTAACAAAAAGGAAAGAGAACAATGTCAAGACAAGAAGAATTTTTTAAAAAAATCAAATTTAGGATTTTCTCAGAACACAAGGACAAAGACACGGAAAGTATGGGAGAAAGGGTAGGCAAAGTGACCAGTGGGGCCAGACAATAATACTCAATTAGAAGATTCCAAAAGGGGTGAAAAGAGGCCACAAGTGAGGGAAGGGGGAATCAAATAGAGAAAGTAATGTTATACATGATGAACAACTCAATATACAATCCACGTAATTAGAAAAGACCGAAATAAACCCAGAAAAACCACATGAAGGATTTATGAGTAAAAGCAGTATTTAGCAGTAATTAATGACAGAGAAAAGAATCAAGTATCTACAGTTATCAGTTTAAAACATGAAATAAGCATCTCCTCTGTTTCAAGTATTCCTCTAAGTTCACATGATACAGTGCTGCCGGCAAGCTTAGTAGGTGAGACAGACACCACCATTAGTTAGACATTGTTTCCACTATTGACTTGAAATGCCATGTTCCCAACATGCTAAATTTCAGTGCACATATATGACACGAAAATATGCATTTTAGAACTTCCTGTTTTATAGGTATGGCATAAAATATTCTTTTTTTTTTAAAGATTTTATTTGTTTATTTGAGAGAGAGAGAATGAGAGAGAGAACACATGAGAGGAGGGAGGGGCGGAGGGAGAAGCAGACTCCCCGCTGAGCAGGGAGCCCGATGCAGGACTCGATCCGGGGACTCCAGGATCCTGACCTGAGCCGAAGGCAGTCGCTTAACCAACTGAGCCACCCAGGCGCCCTGGTGTAAAATATTCTTAAGTGTACTTATTAATTCTCCATATATACAGCTGATATTCCTGCTTCATCCTCTCCAGATAACCACAAAAAATGCTGGAAGGGATCAGTGGAGAAAGAGTTTGCAGGTTCTGGATAACCTCTCAATAACTGATACTCCTAAGTCCGAAGCCGATATTCAGTGGCTCTGCTACCTCTGAAACTGAGGTTGGCAAAGTCCAGAAGGTTAGTTTCACTGCCATAAATTGTTCCAAGGTCTGTAGACCTCTATAAAAGGCAATAAGACAAGAAATCTAATACATTCAGGTAAATACAGTATTTTTGAAGGCAGTCTGCCGTAACATGCCTACTTCAATTTTAAGCCATTCCCAGTGTTACAGACACCGAAGGTCAAATCTTTGATGTAGATACATCTCCTTCTTCTTTTCCATTTCCACTGCCACCACAGACAAGAACACAGACCCTCATAAACTGTTGCCTGGACTACAGTGGTTGACTCATGACAAGTCTCCCTATCTCTATTTTCCCCCTAACCCCAAACTTTCCCAACGAGTATTCTCCAGTTACCTTTTAAATAGAATTTTATGCTATTTTCCACTCACATTACTAACTTATAGAATTTGAGAATTGCTTGGAAATTATCTAACCAAACTTCCATTTGATATAAAGATTTTTTCAGTAGTGCCTCTGAGAGTTCTGTGAATGATGTGTAGCCAATTTCTTCCAAAATCTGAAATTCCACCTTCATAGTTAATATTTTACTGCAAGGTTATTTCTTGTGTTTAGTTAAAAATCAGTCTCCAGAAAGTTCCATTCTCTGAAACTTACTATAGTTGCATATTGCCTTTTAGATGAAATATCTCAAACAATATTGAAAAAATTAGAAGGAAAAACGATCCTTAGTGTTACAAGACAAAGAAGAAGAAAGGCACATTGGAAAAAAACTTAAATGGTCATTAGTTGCAGGTCTAAGGAAAATCCAAAAGTGCCTATAAACAAACTAGAATAATTAATAAATAAATTTAAGAACAATTTCCAGTTCCAAGATCAATATGCAAAACATCAATTTTAAATCAATATGCCAACAACAGCTTAAACAGAAAATTAAAATTTAAAAATATTTAAATAAAATCAAATACCAAATAGAAAAAATTTGGGAAAATTTCAGACCTCTACACCAAAAACTTCAAAATTAAGTCTCAATAAATAAAGAAATATATCATGATCATGGATTAGAATATTCACTCTTGTAAATATGGAAATTCTTCCAAAATTAATCTGTACATTTTAGGTGAACAGAGTAAAATTTCTGGTAGATTTTTTTGGGGAAACTGAGAGACTGATTCTAATATGTATTTAGAAACCTAAAGTGTCAAGAATAAGCTAGGCAAACTTGAAGAGAAAGAAGAATGATATGGAGGACTTACACAACCACATATCATGACCTTTTATAAAGCTATACTAATTAAGGCAGTGTGGTCTTGGCAAAAGAACAGACTAACAGTGGAACAAAATAGATATTCCAGAAATAGGTCCTCACATACAAAGACATATAATTTACAGTAAAAGTGCCACTACAATGAAGAGGGAAAAAGATGGTAATTTCAATAAGTGGTGATGGATCTACTAAAGATTCAAGGAAAAAAAAAATGTTCTGGACTTCTACCTGATACCATACACAAAAATCAAATCTAACTTGATTAAAAATCTAAATCTGAAAAATAAAACAATGCTTTTAGAGGAATATATAGGAATATACTTTTCTAACCTTGGAGTAAGCAAGAATTTTTAAATAGAATACAAAAACGATATTAAAACTCTTAAAGTGGATTTTATTAAAATTAAGAACTACTTTTCACCAAAAGTCACTATTGGGTTAAAAGTGAAATCACAGAGTAAGAGAAGATACTTAAAATTTATATATCTGATAAAAGATCTGTATGCAGAATATATAAATGTTTATTACAAAGCAGTAAGAAAAATATGAACAGCCCAACAGAAAAAAACGGTTAAAAAATTGAAAAGGCACTTCACAAATATGATTAACCATGTAGCCAAGAAGTAATATGAAAAGGTGTTTAACTTCATTAGTCATGTGAGATGTACACAGCATAGGGAATACAGTCAATAATATTGTAATAATGTTGTATGGTAACAGATGGTAGCTATACTTATCATGGTGAGCATTGCGTAATGTACAGAAATGTTGAATCACTAAGTTGTACAACTGAAACTAATATAACATAGTGTCAACTATGCTTCAATATTAAAAATTTTTAAGTTAAAATTACATGAAAAAAAAACAAAGAAAAAGGAGAAAACACCACAAGTAGGTTAGGATGCTGAGTAATTGCTCTTATATATTGCTACAGGGAGTGTAAATTGGTACAAACACTTTGAAAAACTATTTTGCAATATCACTGAAAGATAAACATGTATATATCCTATGAACTGAAAATTCCATTCTTACGTATCATTATTTGCCTAGAATAGAACTGTGTACTTAATAACTCAAGAAGAACTACAGAAACCATTTAGAAACAATAGGAAATTTCAGTTGGCCAATTATATAATTAATATGTTATAATGTAATATAACATAAATATATAAATATAATATAAAATAAATAAATATAGAATAATCAGTAATAAAAGAAGCATCAGTTAGAAAATATAATGGATTGTATATACAATAGAAACCAAGTATATGAAAGATCTAGAGAAAAAAAACCCTCATAATGCATAGGTAATAAAATGCATATTATATATGTGTAAAGAGAAAGAGAAACATAAAACCCAGTTGAGAAATATACATACATGAAAAGGAGTTGAAATGGAAAGACTTCCTATGTTTTTAGAGTTGGAAGGTTCAAAATTATTGAGATATCAGTATTTCTTAAATATAATCTAAAATTCAATGCAGTCCTAATTAATATCCCAATAAGATATTATGGGATATAGAATGTAGAATATGGGAGAAAGGAATAAAATCCAAATACATACCTCCTTTCTGATAAAGTCATAAGTTAAAATTAAGCAGTGTTCAAATAGTTGATATTCTTGTGATGGCTACTCAGGGAGAAAATCTACGCTCTTTAGCACACGTTCATTTCGGAGAATCCGTTGCCGATACATGATTTTATTTTTGGTTTCTTGGTTTTTTGTTTGTTTGTTGCAAGTTTTTATTTAAACTCTAGTTAGTTAACATGTAGGGTAAGAGTGCTTTCAGGAATGGAATTTAGTGATCTGTTTGACGCTGATTTTAGAAGGCTCTTGTTATAACAAGTCACTGGAGTTCTACAAGTGACTGATCCAGTCCTCCATATGTGCTTGATGGCCTCTGTTCTTGAGGAATAAATGGTCTAGCCCACAAACATTTCACCTTCCCATGGCGAGCCTTGGAATCACACTTATGACACATTTAGCAATGCTGAGAATTCCCCCCCTCAACTTTGGACTTGAGACCCCATGAGCCAACACTCGCGGAGTCCCTCCTCCTCTTCCCTTTACCCCATCCTGCTTCCCCCACTTCCACAGGGTTGCTGATTATTTTAATAAGGCAAGAAAGAAATGACTCCAAACGAATCAGAGGCCCCCAGTCCCCGCCACCACCACCCTCGTGCCACTTCATATACTCCTTTCTGTTAAATGAAACCCAGCAGACGGATAGCAGGGAGCCCACTTCTCTGACCTCTGTCACCACCTGGCCTGGAGCACAGTCTATCCTCTCTGATTCGGGGATCTCTGGGCACTCTGGAACAAATGCAGTCTCTGCATAGGAATTAAAGGGAAAAGTTGGACATTTGTAGCGCAATCACAATTCCAGAAAGGATGCAGGGAAAGTTATAGACTTTCAGCCAATTCTCCAGTCAATGATTACTAGCAGCCAATATCTACATGTACATACAAATGCTAAATACATCTGCCTTTTGTTCGGTTGGTTTTTATTGAGATATAATTCACATGCCATGCCATAAAATTCACCTTTTTAAAGTGTACAATTCAATGGCTTTCAGTATTTTACAAAGTTGGGCAACCAATCACCACTCTCTAATTCCAGAACATTTTCGTGCCCCTGAAAAGAAAGCATGTACCCATTAGTGGCCACTCCCCATCCCCCTCTTCTCCCAGTCTCTGGCAAATGCTAATCTGCTTTCTGTCTCCGTGGATTTGCCTATCCTGAATATTTTATATAAATGGAATCATAAACTATGTGGTCTTTGGTGTCTGGCTTCTTTCACTCGGCATAATGTTCTCAAGGCTCATCCATGTTGCAGCATGTAACAAGTACTTCATTCCTTTTTATGGGTGAATCATAACCACATTATGCATATATAACCCTTTAAAAAATCCGTTCCAAAGTTGATGTACATTTGGGTTGTTCCCACTTTTTGACTATTGCACAGAATTCTACAATGAACATTCACGTACAGGTTTTTGTGTGAACATATGTTGTGAATTCTCTTGGTTATGTATCTGGCAATAGAATTGCTAAGTAATACGGTTAATTCTATCTTTAAGTTTTTGGGGAACTGCCAAACTCTTTCCCAAAGGGACTGCACAATTTTACAAACCCACCAGCAGTGTGTGAGGGTTCCAATTTCTCCACATCCTCAACAACTGTTTTTGTCTGTCTTTTTCAAGATAGACATTTTAGTGGGTGTGAAGGCATTTGATTTTGCTTTGCATTTCCCCAAAACTGATACTGAACACCTTTTCATGACATATTGACCATTTGTAGATCCTCTATGAAGAAATGTCTGTTCAAATCCTTTGCTCACTTTAAAAACTGGATTATTTTTCTTTTTTGTTTTGAATTGTAAGATTTCTTTATATATGCTGGATACAAGAATCAGATATCACCCGCAAATATGTTTTCCCATCCAGTGGACTGTCTTTTCACTTCCTTGACGGTGTCCTTTAAAGCATAATTTTTTTAAGTAAAATTTGCCTATCTTTTCCTTGGTTGTTATGGTTTCAGTGTTATATCTAAGACACTGTTGCCTAACCCAAGGTCAAAATATTTATAACTGTTTTCTTCTTAGAATTTTATAGGTTTGACTCTTACATTTCAAGTTTTGATCCATTTTGAGCTAACTGTCATATGTAATATCAGGTAGGGATCCAGAATTATTTTTTTACATGTGGTTATCCTGTACCCCACACATTTGTTTTTTGTTTGTTTTTTCTTTTTCCCCCACTCATTTTCAGCCATCTATGAGGTAAACTGGGACAATATTATTGTCCCCATTTGAATAAAGACCTTCATTCAACATTGGCTATTTTTACTTTAGCTTTTGTCACCTTTGTGAACCCCAACCCACCCCTGCCACCCTCCAATGTAACATCAGAAGTAGGATCTGGTTTAGCAGGTTCCCTGAGCCAGTCAACACCCAGAATTCCATTTGAAGCTTGAGTCAACAGTTACTGTGGGCCTAATAGGTGTCCTTTAGTACCTTTGTTTCTGTTCAAAAAAGACCTCAAAACAACTCTCCTACCTTTATGGCTCTATACTTGTTTGTATATATACTTAAATAAAAATTTATTTTAAAATTGGATCAAAGACTTAAATGTAAGACCCTTGAAACTGTGAAACTCCTTGGGACGTCTGGGTGGCTCAGTCGGCTAAGCGTCTGCCTTTGGCTCGGGTCATGATCCTGGGGTCCTGGGATCGAGTCCCGCATTGGGCTCCTAGCTCTGTGGGGAGCCTGCTTCCCCCTCTGCCTTCTTCTCCCCCTGCTGGTGCTCTTTCTCTCTCTCTGTCAAATAAATAAATAAAATCTTAAAAAAAAAAAAAAGAGAAAGAAACCATGAAACTCCTAGAAAAAGACATGTGAGAAACACTTCATGAAATTGGTCTTGGCAAGGACTTCATGGATATGATACCAAAACCACACACAACAAAAGCAAAAATGGGCAAACGGGACTACATCAGACTAAAAAGCTTCTGCACAGCAAAGGAAACCATCAACAGAATGAAAAGGTAACATAAAGGATGGGAGAAAATATTTGCAAACCATTTATCTGAAAATGGGCAAAATTCTAAAATATATAAGGAATGCCTACAACACAATAGTAAAAACAAACAAAAAGAATCTGATTAAAAAATGGGCAAAAGACTTCCATAAGCTTTTCTCTAGAGACACACAAATGGCCGACAGAAAAGAAGCTCAATGTCACTAATCATCAGGGAAATTTAAATCAAAACCCCAACTAGATATCACCTCACATCTTAGGATGGCTATTATTAAAAAAAAAAAAAAAAAGATACGTGTTAGTGAGAATGTGGAACAATTAGAACCTTTGTATACTAATGGTGGGAATGATGCAAATTGGTGCAGCCACTATGGAAAACAGTACAGAGGAAATATTATTTCCTCAAAAAATTAAAAATAGAACCATCATATGATCCAACAATCCCACTGCTGGATATGTATTCAAAGAATTCAAAGAATTGAAATCAAAACCTCAAAGAGATACTAGCATTCTCATGTTGATTTCAGTGCTATCCACAAACAACCAAGATGTGAAAACGACCCAGGCGTCCATCAACCAATGAATGGATAAAGAAAATGTGGTATGTATACATATAACAGAATATTATTCAGCTGTGTAAGATAAGGAAGGAAATCTGGTCATTTACAACAACATGGATGAACCTGCTAAGTGAAATAAGCTGTTACAGAAGGGTGGATGCTGCATGATTCCATTTATATGAAGTATTTAAAATAGTCAAATTCACAGATGAAAAGACTAGAATGATAGTTGCCAGGGCCGGGGGGGAGGGGAAATGGGGTGTTGCTAATCAGCATGTAAAATTTCAGTTATGCAAGACGAGTAAGTTCTACAGATCTGATGTACAACATTGTGCCTATGAATAATCATGCCTGATGTACACTTCAGAATCTATTAAGAGAGCAGACCTCATGTTAACTGTTCTTACCACAGTAAAAATAAATAAATAAATAAATAAATAAATAAATAAATAAATAAACCCTCCTTTTCAATTCATGGAAGCATATCTTCAAAAAGCATCTTGAAAGAAGCGCAATATGTAGAACAGGTATAAGTGGAATTGACTACTCTGCATGAATTAGAGTGTGGTTTCAGCTAAATGTAGGTGTGAAGATCTAGGTTTTTTTCTTAAAGATTTTATTTATTTATTCGACACACAGAGAGAGAGAGAGAGAGAGAGAGCACAAGAAGGGGGCGGGGCAGAGGGAGAGGGAGAAGCAGGCTCCCGGCTGAGCAGAGAGCCTGATGCGGGGCTCAGTCCAAGGACCCTGAGATCATGACCTGAGCCCAAGGCAGATGCTTAACCAACTGAGCCACCCAGGCGCCCCGTGAAGATCTAGTTTTATGTTGACTAAAAGAAACTACTTATTCATGTACGTTGGACAATAATCTCATGGGACTTGTTACCCAAAGTTTAATAGGGAAAAAATAGTAATAGGCTGAAAATAGCTTATATCAATGGTTTTCAGATCCTCTTTCAAAGACATAATTGTTCCTAGAAAGCACCCTAATGTTTACTGTGGAGAATGGTGAAGAGAGATTGAGTAGGTAGGGTTCTGCTATCAGCACAATTTCTTTTCAATGCACACTTAATCTGCATGTATAACGTGAGCTTTAGCAAGCAAAATAAACCTCAAATTCTGTTTAAATTGGGGATAGATTTTTATATTACACACTATTATTTTATTATTTAGAGTTTCATGTGCATGGAGGAGAAAGCATTCTATTGGATGCTTCTGTGTGAAAGAGAACAGTTTCGAAGATATTGATGAAGAAATCATAGCTATTTCAATCAGAATATGGGCTGGAGGCTAATTGTAATTGATATATTTGAGCCAAGTTAATCAACTTGCTGCAACCTAATTTCCTTTTTCATAATGTAGTGGGATTGGGCACTGTTACCTCAACTGTTCTTTCTCCTTGAAGGCTCTACTACTTCATGACTGGATTGAAGGGCAGACATCTGATAAGCCTAATTTTGCTTCTTGTTAATACTTCATCAAATGGGACTTGGGAGACCCTGAATGTCACTGGCATTCAAGGTTTTGTTGTAGAAAAAGAAAACATGTCTTTTGAAGATTGAAATTGGTGGATGTGGATTTTGAGTGATGCAATGTGGTGCCATGCTGAAGAGCGAAGGAATGTAATCCTTCCAAACCCCAAACCACAAGCATCCTCCTTACCTTCAGTTTTCAACACAAAAAACATCAAGAAGATGTCTAAGGCCAGTACAGTCAGGAAGAAGATGATCAGAAGGACTTCCAATATACTGAGTTTCCTTGCCATCTAGATGGACACAGATAATGGGATTTAAGCAAACCACAAAGCTCCATCCATCCAAAAGGACAGGTATCATGATTATAATTTGAATTCATTTGCAAGATGACTTGATCACAAGCATTCCTCCTTACATAATCCAGAGAATATTGGTTTGCACTCATCACAGTGTTTACAATTAACTCTTGTCTGTGCATCCAACACCTCTAGAGCCTTTGCCTTTTTTGTCTGCAGAGGGTTGAGTATTGTCCAAGGAAAGAATATTTCAGACATAAAGAACTGAAAGTAGAGAGGGAGGAGTGGAATAGAGTACAGGAGAGAGATAAGGTGTTGAGGTGCCTCACAAAGCCCTTTTAGATGCCACTTTGATCCTCATACCCACCCTGGGCAGTAGAGTGGAGGGTACACTCAGGGAGGGAAAAAGTAACAAAACCTGAATCCTATCTTCTTATTCCAATTCTCATGCCATGATGGCAAGATGTTTAATTATTTAGAAATGACTAATCCTGTTAAGTCTCTGATAACAAAAATGAACCTAATCCTGATCTCCAGCACAATGCTTGCTTGCGTGGTCACAGCACACAAACCCATATAAATTTGGTGGCTCACTGTAACCTTGCCAATCATGCATACATAGACCCAAGTTTTAAAATATTTGGTGTACTGGAGTGTGTAGTGAACTGGGAACCAAAGGACATTCATTCTTGTCCTGGCTTGCCTACCAATAGGTGGGCATTTTGGCTATTTGGATGTGTATTTCTTTATCTCCAGAAGTCAGATTCTGGAGGTACTCCCAAGCTTATGCTCTAATTAGAGCAAATCTCACATTATACGTATGTCTCACAACCCCATGACGGCCCTCACCATGTCATTCCTTGACCAACTTTCCACCATCTTCAGCACTCTTCCCACCATGGCTGCACATTGGCTACTTCCTGGAACTTATCACCCTCCAGAATTGTTCCATTTCTGAACTCTAAGCCTCTACTTCCTACTTACTGGGCAGAAGCCCATCCCCTTTTACCCTCTTATTGCATTGTTTATTCTTGGACCACACTGAGGCTTCTGTTCTGTTCCACTCCCTCTTAATCTCTCAGGCCCTCCTGGCCTCCTGGCTGTTATCATTCCCTGATGTAGTCCGCAGCAGCTATTATTACTCTCATCTTCCTTGCTCCCTCATCTGCTAACTGAATCTATATAATGAAAGCATTGATCCAAACTTCTGCCTTCTGAGTTTATGCACTCAGCCCAACGTAGATGTCACTGGGTTCATAATCTGACAAATATACTGGGCCTTAAAGCTGACTGACAATCTTGCCACCTTCTCTCATTTTTCACAGGAGAAATTTCAAACATTGATCCTTGTTTTCAAGCCCCAACCTTTGTCACCTATGCTGTTACTCTCAGCCAATACCATCTCCAACGTCACAAATGAAACAACTATTTTGCAGAAACTATTCCATATACCTGCTTCTCAACCCAAGCATTTCTATGAAATTTATCTGTATCTGGGTAAACTCTGACTTTCTTCCCCCCTTCTCAACTGAAGAGTTTTCCCTCCTCTTGTCTAAGGATAGCCCTTGTATCTATTCTGTAGATCTCACACACTTTGAATTTCTCAAAAATCTTCTTCCACCAATTATCCTTCCTCTTCCTTGCATTATCAACCTCTCCCTCTGAATGTGCTCTTTCCCCTCAAAAGTAATATCCCAAGTCACCCTAAACTCTGGTGATTATTCTGGGTCTTTCTCTAGGTACCATTATAACTTTCTTTTTCCTCTTACAGCTAACTTTCCAAAAAGATAATGGCACACTGTCTGCATTACCTTCCTTCTTATTACTGGCATGGCTTCTGTTTTCTTGCATTCCACTGAAACTCCCCCTGCCAAGGTCACCAGTGATTTAGCTGCTGAATACAATGGGCACTCTCTTAATCACCCAGCACTATCAACCACTCCTTCCTCTTTAAATTTCTCCATGTTTGGATTCCTTGATTATCATTTAATCTTGGTTTTCACCTACTTTTCTGGCTCCTCCAATTTTCTTTTAGTTCCATTTCATTAAGATATTGATATTCCCTATATTTTCAACATAGGTCCACCATCCCCTCTCTTTTAGCAAACTCCACCACTCATATGACTTCATATAACACCCGAGGACAATGCAATCTTTATTTCTAGCCCAGAGATTCAGATTTATATGTGCAACTGCCTATTAGATAATCTCACCTGGGTGTCCCACACACTTAACCAAATTCAACACATTTGAACATGTGTTCACCGCTCCCCACACCCCAGTCCTAACTTCCACCAATTCTGCCCAATTGGCCTCTCCTCAATAATTAATATCTTGAGGAAGAGAATCACAATTTTTAAAAAAATCTACATAACTTTTTTGACTTCTCTCTTCTTTGCATTTCTCACAGCCAGTCACCAGTTCAGTCAGACTCCTTCCCCAATATATTTCAGATCTGTATCTTCTTCTCCATCCCTACTGGAAATGCTTTAGTCAGGCCATTATTTTTGGCCTGAACTGTGACCACAACTTCCCCACTGGCTCCCTGCTTCCAACTGGCAGATGGATTAATCTTTCTACTGCACAAACAAGGTTATTTGGTTTTCCTATACTCAGGTCCTCAGTGGTTCTCCAAATAAAATGCAAACTCTTCAGCTTTGTTATCATCTCCTATGCCTGTGTGGCCTGCCTCTTCTCTCCCTTATGTTCCAGCTGTACCAAGCAAACAACTGTGTAGTAATAATCTGTAAACCCATGTAAATAAAGAATTTTCTTTTTTTCTTACTTTGCCTCTCCTTTAACTTTGCATTTCCCTGCACTCCTGCTCTTCTCAGCCCTGGCCCAATGCCATGACCATTTCTATAAGCATTTCCATATGCGTATAGTTTCACTTTTTAATTGAGGCAGGCTTTTGTTTAATGTGTAATAAGCCGAGTAAAAACGCACCTTCATTTTGAAATAGGGGTAAAGAGCAAGGATCTACAGATAATTTGCCAAGGGAGGGCAGAGTTATGATTGGGGTTTGGAATTGAAGTTGGAGTATATTCACTATTCTTTCCTATTAGCCTAAATCTATCAGGTGTCTCTCCTCTAAATTATTCAAAGGTTTACTCTAATCCCCGTAAGATAGATAGATAGATAGATGATAGATAGATAGATAGATAATATATAATATTATATTCCTATGACACCCCTACATCAAAGTTGACCAGGCAGGCATTATGATTCACATTTTATGTCAATGTTAAGGGATTTTGCCTAACCATGGTTAGTGGTATGACTGAGGCAAACACTGAGGCTCTGCTTCTTAAACTAGTCTTTGAGTATTCACGCTCTCTCCACAATGTCTCCTAGACCTCAGAGCTTACATATCTAGAGGCTGGATCTCTAATGTAGAATTTCAGGCAGTGAAAGAAGTCTGGGGGACCAACCCCATATGCTTGCCATACCTGACTTCGTTACTTATACATACAGCCCAGGACTCACTACCACAGCAAACATGCTATCTGTCACTCAGTTTCCCTCCTCCAAGCATTGTGTCTCTCCATGAGATTTTCCTTCCCAGCCTCTACAAACCCAAAGCAGCTACTTCTTCCAAAGCTCCTGAATCCTCCTGGGGGGAGCAAGGAGGGGGAAGCAGGCTCAACACCCGTGGCTCAGGAAGTTCAGAAGACTCTGCGGACAGCCCCAGGCATTTTCCTGCCACAGGAACTATTGGCATTCTGGCAGAGAGCAGGTAGATGGGGATTCATAAAGGTAGAAAGTCTCTCCTACTTAGAAACCCTGCCTACTCAGCCACTTTTCTTTATCAAACACAATTTTAGGATAATTAAAATCCAGGCTATTATTAAAGACCTTAATGATCATCTACCATTTCCCTCTCCACAAAGAGATGCCTCTACTGTCTTCCCAATCCATCACTTTCAGCTAGCTTCCAGAAGTATCCTATCTGTTAATTCTTTCCTTGTTTTCTCCCAGTGAGAAAGGAACGTCTTGCATTCGACCCTCCCCATCTGTTACACACACATACATACACACTTCTCCTGCCCAGTCAGCCTGTTACTCCATGCACTATCTCATCCCCACTCCTCATAGTCTCTGGAAAAGGAAGAAAATATAAGGTCCAGAAGAAAAGTGTGAGTTGTCCAGATCATTTAGCAAAGACAGGGACATTTAAAAGAAAAAAAGAGCACTACTTATTTAAAGCCACCATGTGCATGGAGAAAAGTACTCACCTCATAGCCGTATCCCTTTATTTGCTGTGTCTATCCCTCAGTAGTTCTTGAGGAACACTGAGCAAAGGTGACAAGGTTGATGTAGCCAGCTTCTGCCAGGATTGATTTATTGCCCTGTAAATCTGATGATGATTGGAGGATAGGAGTGCATTTTCCAGCTAACCATAAAGGGCCCTTGCTTTCCCTATGACTTAGAGAAAGCTCCATTTGTTAATAAAAGAGGAAGGTGGGGTTTTATTCTAATAGTTATGCTTCTTCTGTATTCCTGTTCATATCCAATTACTTTGCTTGTCACACTACATTATACTTGTCTGTCCATGTAGCCTAAAGTGTTCAGGGAGCTGGCCCTCTTCAGTTGTACCTACAGCTCCTGTGCTTAGCACTCTGCCCAACATAAACATACAGCTATTTGTTGAATAAGTAAATGAAAAAAGGAATAGCTCTTGCTTGGTTCACCCACATTGTTCCTTTTTCCATTTTGTCTCCCAAAGTTCTCTTGAGTAACTCAGCTTTCCATTAATTTAAGTAAGCATTCCCACCAATTATTCTCAATAAAATAAGTACCATCAAACTAGATGTTATATAATCTTAAAGTGGGAAGACACCTCTACTGGAATTTTGTCATGCTCTTTGACTTTTTGGCACCTTTAAAAAACTTCTAATATTTAAGGAACTTTCCACCCTGGGAATTCTGCCTCCCCACACCCCTCCCCTAAGTAAGAGGTTAGAAACTCTCTTTTACAATCTCCCTTTCAGCCAAGGTAGAGGCCGGTGGTCTGTGCTCGGCCAATGAGATGTGCCTGTGGAATCCAGGATGGTAAAGAGGCACTGTTTCGGAGGCAGCAGGGACTGGGGACCTAGCAGCATCCTATGCTCAGTAATGAGAGTACAAGCTGCCAGACATGTGCTAAGGGCCATGGCAGTGGAACCTCCCACAAGGTAATCAGGCTGGTGTACCTAGCCACATAGCCTACAAACCTGACACTCTAGCCCTCCTGGAGTTTCAGTGAGTCACCAATATCTTTCAAGATTCAGTTTTGTTCTTAAGCTAGCTAAAGTGTGTTACTTTTGTAATGAAATATAACTCACATGCCATGACATTCACCCTTGCAAAGTATACAGTTCAATGGTTTTTAGTATATTCACAGAGTTTTGCAACCATCACCACTAATTCCAGAACATTTCCATCATTCCAAAAGAAAGCCATCACTCATTCATGGTCACTCCCCATTCTCCTCTCCCCAGTCCCTGCAACCACTAATCCACTTTCTATCTTTATGGACTTGCCTATCCTGAAGATTTCATATAAATAGAATCATACGTTATGCAGCCTTTTGTGTCTGGCTTCTTCCACTTGGCATAATGTTTTCAAAATTCAACCATATTGTTGTAGGTATTAAGCACCTTCAGGTATCAGGGCTTTATTCTTTTTTATGGCTGGATGATATTCATTACATCAATACACTACATTTTGCTTATATACTCATCAATTGATGTATATTTGGGTTGTTTCTACTTTTTTTGCTATTAGGAGCAATGCTGCTATGAACATGTATGTACAAGTTTTTGTGTGGACATATTTTCAGTTCTTTGGGGATACACCCCAGAATGAAATTTCTGGATCATATGGTAACTCTATCTTTAACTTTATGAAGAATTGCATTTTCCAAAAAGTGTACATTCCCGCCAGCAATATATGAGGGTACACAGTTATATATCCTATATATAACAATATATGAGGGTACGCAGTTATATATCCTGTATATAATAATATATGAGGGCATACAGTTATATATCCTATATATAACAATATATGAGGGCATGCAATCTTTCAATGGCATCCAAGATCCATAAGTAATATAGTAGCCATAGTAGTCAATGTTTGCTTTAAATGCTCAGTGTTTGGCAAGCATACACACACACACACATGCACACACACACACACACACACACACACACACAGAAACTTGGTTTCTACTTTTATGAACTTCAGAAATGACATAAGCACCTTATCTTTTGCTCCAGTAAAAGAAAGCCTTTGTTAGAGGGAAAATGCACTTGGATCTCATTTCAAATTGGGACAATATCTTGGCAAAAGATAAAGAAAGGGGATTTATTACTACATAAGATCATTCTATTCTTTGTGAGATAATTTACTCTTAGCTCCCCACATCCCATGCTCACTTATGACATCATTCACATTTCAGTGCTGACAATCCCAGCTATAATCTGTTTCCTAAAGTGCAGGAATTAGCTAACTTTGCCATCCCTTCTTGCTAACAAGCAACTGGAAGATTTTGCATCACATGCTTGTGTTGACCAATGAAAAAGAGACATTCTGAAGAAAAGAAACAAGCATGCAACCAGTATCTTCCAGTTGTTTATTAGCTCGGTGAAGTTAGCACTTGGCAGGATTTATAAAGTAATCAAAGCAAGCAGAGGGTTGAATCATCAAGTCAGAAACCAAAAATATGCATGACCCTTAACTTTCAAAGCACTATCCTCCAAGGCAAGATGCAAAGATCTCAATGATATTGCAGTAATGACAAGAAGGTAAAGGTACTGACACTTGGACCATATCTGCCAAGGCCAATACAACCTTGTCTTTGTAGGTATCTATGATAATTAATGTTATAACAAGGATGCTTTTAATAAGAAAAGGAATAAATTTTCTTCCTCTTAAGTTAAAGGGTTTCAGATTGTTATTTTTTTTTTATTTTGGCATACCTACAAAGAGATAAAGTGAAATTATGCGGTCTTGGGGAGAGAGAATATCTCAAAAAGACCAACCTTTCCCATAATGCTGGCCAGGAGTTACAAGTGTAGGTCCATGTTACAAGGTCTGCTTCAAGGTAGCCACAAGTGTATATGGCTCCATGTGTAATTGTTCTTATTCTTTTCCCCAAGTTTTTATTTAAATTCCAGTTGTTAACATATGCGTAATATTAGTTTTAGGTGTACAATTAACTATTTTAATTTTTAATATGATAAATATCAATAGATATAACCCCATGAACAAAAGCTTTGGAATCCTCAATAATTTTTAAGAGTATAAAGGGGTGCTGGAACCAAATTATTTGTGGAACTGCTGATTTGGTGTACTGATTTTCAAATGTCTTAATTAAATATGATATATGAAATGTATATGATACATATATATGTTCCACATGAATAAAAAATGTAAGTGTATATATTATATAGACTTTTATATATTAAGCATATATGTATATGTATATTACATATATACTTAAAATTCTTTTTTAAATTTAAATTCAATTAGCCAAAATATAGTACATCATTATATTTTGATATAGTGTTCAACAATTTGTTAGTTGCATATAACACCCAGTGCTCATCACATCACGTGCCCTCCTTAATGCCCACCACCCAGTTACCCCATCACCCCACCCACCTCCCTTTCCACAACCCTCAGTTTGTTTCCCAGAGTCAAGAGTCTCTCATGGTTTGTCTCCCTCTCTGATTTCTTCCCATTCAGTTTTCCCTCCCTTCCCCTATGATCCTCTGTGGTATTCCTTATATTCCACATGTGAGTGAAATCATTTGATGTAATTGTGTTTCTCTGATTGACTTATTT